TCGGGAAAAGCAACCAGGGGGGGGCCCGTGGGGGAAGGAGGACCCCTTTGAGAATGGGGGCCACTAGGGAGCCCCCCCGAAGCCCCGAACCGGGGGGGGGGGGGGGGTTCCAAGCGGCGATGTCAGTTGAGAGTGTGGCATATTCCGTTCGCGTACCTGCGCTGGTTGCTGGTGTCTACTATAGCTCCGAGTAGAGGGGGCGTTCCGCCGCTCGAAAGGGGTGAAACCCGAAAAGCGCAGGGAGCTAACCGCCCTCTCGCGCCTCGGAGACCCGTGTTTACTTTATGGCCCCTTCCCTGCGAACGCGCACCCCCCCCCCCCCCCAGGGCTACGGCTCTCTAGGGCTCTCTAGCCCGTAACCCGACGCCAATCGTCCGGCCCGCTGAGATGGGCGGTGCGCTTCGCCTTCGGTTAGGGGTTAGCTCCCCGCCACTCCCCGGGGGCGGCCCCCCCTCTCTGGGATCTTCTGGGTGTGCGGTTGCCAACTGCACTCCAAGTGCTCCAAGTGCCCGGAGCGTCTGACAAGGTGTGTAGCGAAGTACCCAATAACAAGTAGTTACCGCACTTCGCACCCGACTTTCGCTGCATCTGTGCGGTGATCACCGCTTGCCGGCCGTGATCACTGCTGGCCCAACGCCTCTCCGACCGCGGCGCATATCTGCCCAGTCCAGAACACCTGCAGCCCGGTGAGGAAGACATTGGCGCCCAGCAGAGCCGCGTACGCGACGAGGGAGTGCGCGCGGTCGCGGGGCTTGGCCAGCGCCCAGAGCGAGTCCTGCCAGAAGCCGGCCGAGACGTACGGCCAGTAGGCGGTGCGCAGCAGCAGGAAGAGCAGCACGAAGGGCGGCTTGGACGCCTCGACGAGGGCCTCGAGCCCCGCCGCGCTGAAGAGCTCGCCCACGCAGAGCGGCACGCTGGAGAGGCTCGCCTGCGTACACAGCGGACACTGCCTCATTTCACGTTGTGTACCGTGATGGCTGATGGAGAGCCGACGCAGCCGCCAGAGAGGCTCGCCACGCCGAAGAGATCCCGGCGCTCTTGGCCGCATCTCGGCTAAATCTCGCCACGCCGAAGAAGAAGGTTGCGTAGTAGTGGCACCACGGGTGCATCGAGAGAACGCCTACTCGAGGCCTCCGAGCAGGTCTGGGGACGGCTCAGGGAGGGGGTCGGATATGCGCGCCGGGGAGGACGCCGAGGAAGCAGGTGACGGCGTGGTGGCCGATGAAGGCGGCGGTGCGGTACTCGGGCAGCAGCACGACGGCGATGAGGTTGAAGCACTCGTAGCCCGCGGTCAGGCGGCAGAGGCGCTCCGCCAGCGGCGAGCGCCCGTACAAGCGATCGAGGGCTGTGCCGCCGACCTTGTGGATGGGCCCCAGCCACTCGAAGACGCCGAGGGCGCTGCTCGAGCAGGCAAAGGCGAGAGAGACG